GGCTTCTGCTGCCCTTACTGATCTCACTTAGGGGATTAGTGTAAACACTGAGGCTCTACAACAGCCCAAGATGGCACTTTGTTGTTGGGAGCAGGGGAGCAGGTGTAGACGGAGAGTGTGCTGGGGATGGCAGAATTAGATCATGATTCAGGAGGGTAGCATGGGGGAAAATGTAGTCATCAGAGCCTGTGTCTGTTACTCACTGAACATCACTGAACATATTCGTGTGTTCTGGTGGCATTTTTCTTTGAACTGTTTGCTCAGATAACTCTAATCAAATTGTAATGTAGAAAATTGGCTTGTCAAGACAGTTTGGAGATCTGTTCTTTAGCATCTGTTAAGTATACTTTTTTTTTTTTTAAATTCCAAGTTGAAAATGACATGTAAACCCGTCTAATTAGGCATAAGAAGATATTAGGTTATTTTTAATTATCCAAATTTTATTAAAGTCCTTTAAGTAAGCCTGTTTTATTACTGCTAAAATGTAGAAACTAGCTAGGTTAACAGGCAATGAAAAATGTTCATTTCCTGGTTTTGCATTTTCTTAGAGTAGCTTTAAATATATGCCACAGTGTTCTTGATAACATAAATTCCCTCCTGTCTCATCATCAGAGACCAAAACTATTAGAATATTTGTATTTCGGTTGGTAAAAAGTAATGCGGCTTTTGCCAATAAAAGTAACGGCAAACACTGCCATTAATTTTGCACCAACATAATATCTTGATGTTTTCCATCATCTTTTACCTGTTCATATTGCAGCCTAACATCTCTGAATAGCACAATTCATGTATTGCAAGTGTAGTGTCTTAGTAATTTGTGTAGACTCACTATGGAGTTGGATGACATGAAGGGCATCCAGTAGGATTTGCCTCCCTCCCTCAGTGTACGTACACTCATCCAGGACTGCACTGTGGCAGATGGAGTACAAGACAGGGTCTTTACCTGCAAGGTTATGGTCTAGTAGGGAAGCCAAGTACAAGTACTTGAAAGATAATTCCACGCTCTTCATTTGTCTGTTTCGAAAACCTTGGGTGAGAGTCTGTTAAGGACCAGGCAGGAGATATGTAAGCATATGTGTGCTGTCATTGACATGCATGTGAACAGAGGTAAGCCTTTATTACCTGGCTACCAGTGTTAGTCACTTTGCAGAGTTCCTTCACTTTCTATTTTCCCTTCCTCCCTCCAGTTCCTCTTGGAAGAATTGGCTACACTTGCGCCTTCTTCCTTGCTCCCACTTGGGTGGCTTACCGCTGCCGGTTCACAGCTAGCAGTGGGAGGCACTGCCCACCCCAGTGGCCAGGCTAGAAAAGAAAGGTTCGTTATTGACTCCTGTCACCTTCCAGTCCCTAGGTCGAGGCAGCTTCTGCCTTCACGGGCATCCCCACCTGCCATCTCTTGGCCTCATCTCAGCAGCACTTTGCGTTGTGGGCCCTCCTTGTTCTCCCAACAGACCCTTCCTTGGCGTCTGTGAATCTGCTGGCTTCTGGGTTTTCCCTTCGCCCTGACCACTGCGGCTCCTGCTTCTGACGCCGCCTCCTTTCTGCGCTTGCCCTGCCCAGAGATGTCTGTGTTCCTTGGCCTGGGCCTGGACCCTCTTCTTCTTCTGCACTCTCTAAGGAGGTGTCATCCCTCCCAGTGGCCTGGCTGCTGTCCAGGTCTCCAGCCCAGATCTCACGTGTTCATTTCTGACTTTCCACCCACCTATGACTCAGAGATGGAAGACTCCGTGCCGCTGCCCCAGGCCCCTCTCCCCCAGGGTCTCCAGTGCAAGGAGAGGAAGCGTTGTCTGCCCACTTGTCCACAAAAGAAGAGGAAGTCGTGTTATTGACAGCTCCTCATCCCTCAATCCCCAGATCTAGTTCATTAGGAAATCCTCTGCATTCTGCTCCCAAATTCTGCCCTCACTCTTGCCTGTTCTATTCTCTGCCCATAGCCAAGACCCTGGGTCAAGCCCCCATCGCCTCTTGCCTGGGTTGCTGTTGCTGCCTCAGCCTCCTTATCAGCCTCTCCGTCTCTTCTCAACCCTTCAACCTTTTCCTACTCATTCTCTCCCTACAGACCCAGTGTTCTTTCTCAAGTACAAATTTGATATCTGTGTGTACCCTTCTGCTTAAAATCCTCCAGTGGCTCCTCGTGGCTTGTAGGATAAAAGTCTAAACTCCTCAACTTGGTCCCCAAAGCCCCATGATGCAGGTGAACATACATTACTGGCTTCATCTCCTGCTATTCTTTCCCCTGCTCCAGCCTTGCCGACCTTTAGTTCTGTGTTCTTTCTGCCTCCTCTGTGTGGAACAGCCTCCAGCTGTTCCCCTGGAGAACTCCTGTTTCTTCAGGTCCTGCATTGGTGTTCTCAAGTCTGACATAGGTCACTGTGGATCTGTTGCCACGACTTACGGTATTTCTGCAGACCTCGTCATCTTTAAGTGCCGCTTAGCTTGTCTCTATTCCCCATGAGATTACAGGCGATGAGGGCAGGGACTAAGTCTCATGTTGTTTCCATTCTGTCTCCTTCGTAGCTCTTGGTACCTGGCACCTAGTAGATGCTCAATAAATATTTGGTGAATGGACAAAGGAACTTTTCGCAGTCTGTGTTTAGTCATTTAATAAACATTCTCACTCCAGTTCTGCTCCCTAGCTCTTCCCCTTTTTTTTTTTTTTTTTTTTTAAGAATCTCAGCTCTTGAGCTAGCCGCTGAACTTGTTTTAAAATCTCTTCTTCAGATAGCACCTTAAGAAAGAAAACTCATCCATCCCTCTTAAGAATGGCACTCTGTAAAGTATGATGAATGGAATTTTTATAGTCAGTGCTCCTAAAGTACAGGGGCAGTAAACACGGTAGATGAACAGGCAAACATGGAAACGTGAGATTTTACCCTTTAGAGGACCAGATGTTCTTTGCTGTTTTTAAAATTTACTTGTCTTTTTTTCTTTTCTTTTTCTTTTTTTTTTTGAGACGGAGTCTCGCTCTGTCGCCCAGGCTGGAGTGCAGTGGCCAGATCTCAGCTCACTGCAAGCTCCGCCTCCCGGGTTCACGCCATTCTCCTGCCTCAGCCTCCCGAGTAGCTGGGACCACAGTGCCTGCTGCCATGCCCGGCTAATTTTTTGTATTTTCAGTAGAGACGGGGTTTCACCGTGTTAGCCAGGATGGTATCAATCTCCTGACCTCGTGATCTGCCTGCCTCGGCCTCCCAAAGTGCTGGGATTACAGGCGTGAGCCACCGCGCCCGGCCTAAAAGTTACATGTTAAGGCTGGGTGTGATGGCTCATACCTGTAATCCCAGCACTTTGGGAGGCTGAGGCAGGTGGATACCTGAGGTCAGGAGTTCAAGACTAGCCTGACAAACATGGTGAAACCTCATTTCTACTAAAAATAGAATAATTAGCTGGTCATGATGGCAGTTGCCTATAATCCCAGCTAGTCGGGAGTCTGAGGCAGGAGAATCACTCGAACCTGGGAGGCAAGGTTGCAGTGAGCCAAGATTGCACCATTGCTTTCCAGCCTGGGCAACAAGAGTGAAACTCCATTAAAAAAAAAAATCAGTTATTAATATTAGTAGTGTTATATGGCAGATAAAGGGAAATTTATTTGGAAACTGGTTATAAAGTAGTTTAGGTCCAGGCACAGTGGCTCACGCCTGTAATCTCAGCACTTTGGGAGGTCGGGGTGGAAGGATCACTTGAGCCCAGGAGGCAGAGACTGCCAGATCACACCACTGCACTCCAGCTTGGGTGACAGAGCCAGACCCTATCTCAAAAAAAAAAGTAGTTTAAGTGTTTTTGTTTTTGTGTTTGTTTTTTGAGACAGCATCTTGCTCTGTTACCCAGGCTGGAGTGCAATGGTGCAATCTCAGCTCAGTGCAGCCTCCACTTCCTGGGTTCAAGTAATTCTCCTGTTAACCTACCTAGTGGCTGGGATTACAGGCATGTGGTCCACCACTCTTGGCTAATTTTTGTATTTTTAATAGAGTTGATGTTTCACCATGTTGGCCAGGATGGTGTTGAACTTCTGACCTCAGGTGATCTGCGCACCTGGACCTCCCAAAATGCTGGGATTACAGGCATCAGCCACCGCGCCCAGCATAAAGTTTTTTTTTCCTGTAGCTTTTGATAGACTCCCAGATTTTAATTTGTATTTGCATATTTTCTAACCAGGAGATCCTTGAAATAAGGATATAAATTAAAGTTTCAGCCCTTTAACAAATAAGAGGCATTTGCTTACAATGGGTTGAAACAGCAGCAGTAACATTTTTGGCAAGTATTAATACTTAATATGGCTTACATGCTATGAATTCATATGGGTTATTTCAGTGCTTCTCAAACTTTAAAGTACATATTAACTCTCTAGATTCTTACTGAAAAGCAAATTCTGATTAGTTTCTTTTTATTATTATTACTTTTTTTTATTATTATGGAATGCTTCACAAATTTGCGTGTCATTCTTTTTGTTTATTTGTTTTTTGAGACAGAGTCTCATTCTGTCGCCCAGGCTGGATTGCAGTGCCGGGATCTCGGCTCACTGCAGCCTCTGCCTCCTGAGTTCAAGCAATTCTTGTGCCTCAGCCTCCCAAGGAGCTGAGATTACAGGCATGTGCCACCACGCCCAGCTATTTTTTTTTTTTGAGAGACAGAGTCCTGCTCTGTCAGAGTGCAGTGGCGTGATCTCGGCTCACTGCAACCTCCGCCTCCCAGGTTCAAGCAATTCTCTGCCTCAGCCTCCTGAGTAGCTGGGATTACAGGTGCCTGCCACCATGCCCGGCTAATTTTTATATTTTTAGTAGAGACGGGGTCTCACCGTCTTGACCAAGCTGGTTTTGAACTCCTGAGCTCGTGATCCACCTGCCTCAGCCTCCCAAAGTGCTGGGATTACAGGCGTGAGCCACTGCACCCGGCCAAATTTTTGTATTTTTAGCAGAAATGAGGTTTCACCATTTGACCAGGCTGGTCTCAAACTCCTGACCTCAAGTGATCTGCCTACATCAGCCTCCCGAAGTGCTGGGATTACAGGCCTGAGCCACTGCACCTCGCCTGCGTGTCGTCCTTGTGCAGGGCCCCACTAATCTTCTCTGTAGTGCTACAATTTTTAATATATGTGCTGCTGTAGTGAGCACAAGCTCTGGTTACTTTTAAACAAGCTCTCCAGTCAAAGCTGCTGGTGTGTGGCCTACACTTAGTGGCATGGGAGTATACTATTGACTTTAACCCACTTTTTTAAAAATGATTTTTTTGTCTGTTTTATTTTGTTTTTGAGACAAGGTCTTCTTGCTCTGTCACCTAGGCTGGAGTACAGTGGCGTGATCACAGCTCACTGTAGCCTTGACTTACTGGGCTCAAGCAGTGCTGCCTCAGCCTCTCAGTATCTGGGACTACAGGCACACACCACCACAAATGACTAATTTTTTTTTATTTTTAGTGGAGTCGAGGTCTCACTATGTTGCCCAGGCTGGTCTTGATCTCTTGTAAACCTATCTTAAGTAGAGTCTGCATTTTTTCATCAAAATTTTTTTTATATCTTTATGTAAGGTTAAATTAGTGATAGTTTTGTTATAAAATAGAGTCCCTTGTAGAATTGCATTTAATCCAAAGTGTATATTGTATTAATAAACACTTTTTGAGCCGATAGATTTTTGAGTTACTCAGATGATTGTTTGCCTGTAAACCAGTCGAATGACACCTTATGCTCTAACTATACCTTACTTAGCAAGGATTTTGCACATTTTTTTCCTGTCATTTACTGCATTTATTTAAAGTATTCTAGGTTAGATAGCTGCCTTTTCTTGACTTCGGGAGAGATGCTTGGATCTTCTCTTTCATTCTCTCAGGGAATACTTGTGTTTTTTCCATCAGTTCATTTCTGGAAAAGTTACGGATCTTATCCAGTTGAGGATATACTTTTCCATATTTGCCTCTTAATGCTTTGAAAGTTTCTTGCTAAGATAGCTTGCTCTGTGAAAAACAAACTGTTCATCTGCTTGGGCTGCCGTAACAAAGTATTACAGCCCTAGTGGCTTAAACGACAGAAGTCTGTTGTCTCATAGCTCTGGAGGCTGCCAGCAGGAAACCTGAGGTCAGGGAGTCAGCGGGCTGGTTCCTTCTGAGACCTGGAGGGAGGCTGCTCCAGGCCTGCCTTCTGGCTGCTGGGGGTGCCGGCAGTCTTTGGCTTGCATACCTTGTCATACGGCACCCTGGTCTCCGCCTTCGTCTTCACGTGGCCTTTTCCCCCTGTGTGTGCCTGTGTGCAAATTTCCCCTTTTTATAGAGATGCAATCATAGGGGATTAGGGCTCCACCCCGCTCCAGTATGGCCTTATCTTAAGTAATTACATCTACAGCAACCTTGTTTCCAGATACGGTCACATTCTGAGGTCCTGCAGTTGTCAACATGTGAATTTTGGGGATGCACAACTGAACCATAACACAAACCGTGAATTCTTAGCATCTTAGGAATTAGTTGTAGAAGAGAACAGGAGCCACCCCTCCAGTCATTGCTCCAGTGGCTCTGGTTAAGTTGTAGTTCAGTAGAGAGCATGAATGCTCTCAAAAAAGCACTACGGTTGTCCTTGGTATCCACAGGGAGTTTCTTCTTGGACTCCCTCAGACACCAAAATGCACAGACACTCAAGTCCCTGGTAAAAAATGATGTAGCATTTATGTATAAGGTATGCACATCCTCCCGTGTACTTTACATCATCTCTAGATTACTTGTAATACCTAATAAAGTGTAGATGCTATAGAGATAGTTGATATACTTTATTGTTTTTAATATTTATGTTTTTTTATTGTTGTACTGTTATTTTTTATTGTTTGGGGTTTTTTTCCCCTTATATTTTTGATCCATGGATGTGGAACGCGCAGATGCCAGGGCCAACTGTAACTTGGGGAAGTTACTTGGTGGTGGTGGGTAGTGTTGCAGACACCATCTTGCTGGAGTTTGCCCTGCGGCAGTAAGCTCTCTGATGTGACCCTGTTTGTTCCTTTAGGAGACGTTGATCCAGCAGCACATGTCATTTCATTAGGTCCTGTATCTGATGTTGTGGATAGTGGAGTCCTCCAGCAATTGAATGAGAGCAGTGGACACATCTCAGCAGGTCGGTCTAGAGAGTTGCGAATCTAAACCTGGGACAGGCTGGGGCCAGGAGGCAGAAACACCAGCCTCTGCCAACACCGGAACAAGCCGACGCTTCCAGACAAGGCGGAAAAGGCCTTTTGTAATGGAAATCTCGCGAGGGTTAATCTTCTCTTGAGAATGGCAGTCAAGAAATGAGATGGTTCACTTGACTACTGAGCAGTTACACCAGGGAGAGCGTGAAGGAGATGATTGAGCCAGAGAAGAAACGGGTTGTGATGGTAATGGTGTGGGGGAAATGAACTTGAGCTTTAAACTTGATTTGGGTTTCAGTGTCTCTGAATTGAACATCCCATGTTGGAAGAAGATACATTTGGGGGCTCCAGGACTACAGTAGAAAAGTATAGAGCAAGCAGGAAAATCTTCTAGTAAAACTTACATGCAGGACAACAAAATGATGAAAGATATCCAAATACCAGATAAACCACCAGGAAGGCTTGTGTTTAGGGATTTGTTTCAAGAGGAACAAGGGATGAGGGAGAAAAATCCGTTTTATCCATCAGAGTCAGTGATATAAAATTGCCTATTAGGGTAAAAGAAAAATGTGAAGACTATTTTAGTATACAGAGAGCATTAATTCAGATGGCTTAGAAAAGTGATGCCAGCCCAAGAACAGGGATCTAGTTGAGCCCATTGTAAGTATCATTGAAAACAAAACATGCCAGTCAGCATGTCACAGAAAACGAACGAAGGACAACAAGAAGTGGATGAGAATATTTTGTTGACCTTCATGGGTTTACAGCCTCTGTCTCTAAACAAAGTATGGAAACAAGTAGAGCTTTTATTTTGCTTTTGTTTTTGTTCTGTTTCGTTTTGTTCTCCCCCACTCAATAGAAATGAGGGTTCTTAGTCTGTTTCTGACAATCTGTTAATTTCTTAGGATAGTTGTCTTTCGTTTGCTTTCCAGTAGGCATAGTACATTTAGTTGAAGAGCACATCTGTATGCTACAACTTGATTACATCTTTTTTTCTAGCTATTTTGCATTTTTTCTTTTACCATGTTTCAGTTTCTGCATGTAGATTTAAATAAGAAACAAAACTTGTAAAGTTGTAACATTTCACACGGAAATGCTGCCCAATCTTCACCAGCTTCAGAAATCTGACCTTTGCCGATGCTGCAATAAAGTGTTGTAATTTAGATTTGGTGTGGTGGTGGTTTATTTGGTTTGGGTTTTGAAAACCTATTGAACGGGTAAATTGGTATCTTCCAGCGTCATCTTTGTGCTTTAAAAATACATTCTCAGACGATTAGTGTTGTGTTCACCTTAAGGATTCCATCTGTGCATGACTTTTCTTAGGTGCCGGAGTTAATGTACCTTTGGGGCCAATGAAAAAAACAGTAGCCTACGCAGACCAATAGAATGCACATTTTTAGAACAGGCCGAATACTGGTGGAGATGGGAAATGGTACTGCGTGGTTCAGCCTGGGGCAGCGTTTGTGATTTGTGTGGGCAGAGCCTCTGCAAAGCAGGTAACTCACAAAGGAACAGCAAGAAACACTCTTGGTCATCTCTTGCCAGGTATTAATTTTAAGACTGATTTACACACACCAAACGGAGTTACTGTAATCACCATTGCCAAAATTTCAAAAATTGACCTGAGAGTTATCATTTGGAAAAAAACAAGGATTTATTAAAGAAAAAACTTTCCAAATTTCACTTACAGGAAGCTTATCATCTAACCCTTACCACCATCTTCATCACTGACCTGTGTACTGTTACTCACTGTCCTTTTGTTGGGTTTACAAGTTTATCATTTTTATATTATTTCTAGGTGTTAGATTATTTATTACAGGGAGCCAGGATAATTCTAAATTCACCCTTTAAACTTCATATCATACACAAGGCAGACGATATGAAAATCAGGTACGTGGTGATGATTTACCTTCATTCACCTTTCATCTAGAAAGAATATAGTCACTAGTAGGTGTAATATGTTTGGGAACCAGAAAGTGGGCCAAATTAGATTCTTCACAACATTGCATCTTCAGTTCAAAAGGACAAGCCCCCTTAATTTTGCAAATTTTTATGTTTCTCATAACTGTCAGTCTTTCGGGCCTCCTTTTCCCCCCTTGTGATCTTCAGAGGTAAGCAGGTGTTAACATATCTGACTGTCAGACTTCGTCCTTTGAGCCTTTGATTCTTTTGGGGAGACTGATAAGCTGGAAAGGCATCCTGGCAGCCTCAGGATCTGTCTCAAGGTCAGTCCCCTTACTTCCCTATGGGAGCCTCACAGGCCGTTAGACACTCTGCGTTTACATACAGCTACTGCAGACCTGAGCTGTGCAAAACGAAGCAGCCCGGCGGAGGGTGCAGAAAGTGCACAGTGGCCAGGAGAGCCAAGCAAGGATCATGATGAGAAAACTTAAACCCAAACAGAAGCCAGGCAGAAAAACACAAAAGAGCAAAAACCCGAGAAGCTCAGTCCAATCTTAACCCTAGAGCACATAGAAGATTTGGATTGGAAGAAGCCCTCATAGTCAAGGAATCATGCTGAGAGGTGTGGTAATGCCATTCAGTACAGTCAAATCAGTAATGGATGGTTTCAGGGTTTTTATAATGAGCAGAAATACTAATAACTTCATTATAGGAAGGAAATACAGTTGACCGTTGAACATTGTGGTGGTCAGGTGTGCTGACCCCTCATGCGGTCAAAAATTCACGAAGAGCTTTTTTGAGATGGAGTCTCACTTTGTCTTCCAGGCTGGAGTGCAGTGGTGCAATCTCGGCTCACTGCAACCTCTGCCTCCCGGGTTCAAGCAATTCTCTAGCCTCAGCCTCCCAAATAGCTGGGATAACAGGTGCCTGCCACCTCGCCCGGCTAATTTTTGTATTTTTAGTAGAGATGCCCGGCTCATTTTTGTATTTAGTAGAGATGGGTTTCACCATGCTGGCCAGGCTGGTCTCAAACTCCTGACCTCAGGTGATCCACCTGCCTCGGCCTCAAAAAAGTGCTGGACTCACAGGCATGAGCCACCGCGCCGCCT